ATATATATGGGTGTAACAGCAAAATTCTCCAAATCATGTAAACAGCATAATTGTCCATCCCACAAAATGTTTAATATCTAAAAAAAAAAAAAAAAACTAATAAGTTTCTTTTTTCGACGATTTCAGATAAGAATAAGACGTTTAGCCATTTTGACACGATTTGCCGTGTGAATTACTGAAAAACCCTTTCAGTTATTCAGGTAGAGAGAGAACATGTTAAAATCGTTTTGCGTCAAACCCCACTGTTTTCCCAAATGAGCAATGGTGAGAGGAAAAAAGATCATTCAGGCCTTCAGTAATGGTACCAACATTCATACTCTGGCTTCCATCTTCAAAAAGTCCATTCAAGAACCATCAAGAGAACGGTGAATAGTTTTTTAAAAAAAAAAGGGAACAGTAGAGAGGAAAACTGGATCAGGAAGGTCACAACAGGAAGAGGGATCATCATTTCAACTTAGAGCTAAAGAGATCAATTAGAAAAGATCCAACTCAATCCATAAGACGTTTGGCACGTGAGAGAGGAGTTTCAGCTATGACAGTCAAAAGAGCAGTGAAAAAAGACTTGAAAATGAAATCGTACGTATATAAAAAATGATGATCTTGTTATTTCCAGGACAGAAAGTTAGAAAGTTAGAGAAGGGCGAAATCATCTTGAATAAGTTGAAAAAATGATCCTGGAATAATATAATATATATATATATATATATAATATATATATATATTATAATATATTTATGTTTATTTCAATTTTATGACTTTTTGATCCTTTAGCTATGATTAATTAATGATGAACATGTCATTTACGTTTATGTCCGACTTCATTACAATTGCTTTTTTAATGTTGGAGAGTAATTACACATTCTTATTGCTTAAAGTGGAGTTCAATAGTGTTGTAACAAGCTCAGAGAATTCCAGTAAGATATCGCTAATCATTTCTAAGATACAACGGTTTAGAGCTTAATCTAACAAATGGACAATTTTGCCGTTACAACATTTCGACAATTTTGCTGTTACATACGGTATATTTGTTTCTAATGAAAATTTTATATATAATATATTATATATAATTTTTGGAAAGCATCTTTTAACTATCCAATGAGCCTTAAAATGAAAATTGTCGTATTTTCATTTGTTAAAACATTTTCGAGATAATAGAACTGTTGTATTGGCTTGGTTTTGTTGTCCAAGGAGTCTGTTTTCTTACATTGCATATTTCGTCGTTTTCTTACTCTCTTCCATTGATTACCTTCTGTAGAAATCCAGGCATTACAGAAACAGCATCACTGAATGAGTGAGAATGGTCATCTTCATGGTAAAATTAATTATTATAATCCATTATATATAAAAATTTATTAGATATATATCATCAGCTGATAACAATAATAAACAGAAAATTGAAAACTATTTGAAATGTTGAGGTAATTTCATTTTTTAAAATAAATATATATATATATATATATATATATATATATATATAAATATATATACTTTAATTATGTGTGTGTATGTTGTGTGTGTGTGTGTGTGTGAAAAATTTAAAATGTGTGTAAAATTTATTTAAATTTAATTTATGCCGAAATATAGATTTATGAGAACTCACAACTTTTTTCAAACGATTAATTTGATTTTATTATATATTTTTTAAAATGTTTATCAATGTTTTGTTTTTTTGTTTTGTTTTTTTTTCTTCTAAAACATGGCGTTTAATTTTTTTAAAATTCAAAACACATTTTTAAAACGTCGAAAAAATTACTTTGGTTTTAAAATATTTATTTTTATCTAGTAAATATATTATTCATTTTTTTTCGTATATAAAATAAATAAATATTCTTACTAAAGTCTATGTTTTAATTTAAAATGTTTTCAAAAATTAATGTATCCTTTCCCGCTCAGAATGATTAAGAAAAGCCAGTATAGGAAATCGGTAATGATATGACATCTTCAATTCAACGGAAACGATGTAAAACATCAAAATTCAATATACGTGCAAAAATTAACCTTGTATTTTAACACACAATTTCAGAAAATTATTCAATGAACTTTTATTACCATTTTAATTAACACGGATTAATGAAATATAAATTTAAATATTTTTTATAGATTGAAAGCGAGAAATACGTTCTCATTTCTACGTATTCCAAATTATCAATATATAATTATTGTTATGTAGACGTCTTATTAAATATCGAAATATTCCCCAAACTCACGGCGATTTATTTTTAATTAAATATTGGCGGACAGATGAATCGTTGGAATAAGCCAGTGTCGATTTCAGCATTGTTTAACGTTTTCAATTTTCTTCATCTGTTTTTAAGATAAATACAAAAGAATTTTGTTACAATTTAATATTAATTCGATTTTTATTTTTTTTTCCAGGCTTATCCCGGATAATTAAAAAAAGGTTAAAAAAGCCAGAAAAGAATTATTTAGATTTGTTTAAGATTTTTTTAGATAACAATATGGAAAACCAATAATTGAAAATTTAAATATCACCATATCAAGGAGAAAGAAAGAATTCGTGTTTCCCAAGGGTAATCCCGGAATTTGATTAACTCTTTTCATCACAACAAGAATTGTCTGAAATCGGCTCTCCAATTTTTCAATCACAATTATAATATATATATATATATATATATATATATATATATATATATATATATATATATATAAAATAATATAAACAGACAATGAATGTCTATTATGTTTGATCATGGACATTCTAAACTTGCATCTGCCTTTTTATGAAACCAGAAAATTAATAAGATTAGTTTGAAATGTAATTAAAGAATAATCCTGGTAAAATTGTATATAACATTGCATCTAGATATATGGTTATTTTTCTGTTTTATTTGGGTATTCACGTGGGACTTCATGGAATCTCGTCCTGAATTTACGACCTGTAAAATACTATTTTGCTACCGTTACTGTGAAGAAAAAATTTCTATGTCAACATAACAGAATATCATCTTCGATGGTGAATATTTTTGTTCAACTGTCCGCATATTATAATCTGAAGAAATGTTTTTATGAGACGAAAATTAGATCAAAATGTTTTTAATAAAAAATTTCATAATGTTGGACAATGTTTATTTTCATCCGAAATTAAATCAACTATATCGGAGTTTAGAACGGCTCATGATCAAACATAATAGACATTCGTTGTCTGTTATTTTAACATTTTAAAATGTTTAATGAAATACTTTTATTGCCCCAATACAATAATTACACAAAAATGCAATGCATTAAACAACATATCTTCTATTCTTTCAACCTTTATATATATATTCTTTCTATATATATATATATATATTACTACTAATACGACTACTACTACAAAAGAATCAACTACGGTTGGCTGGCCGCATGATAAGAATAGAATTCGCCTTCCTCCAACTCTCCATAAGAACTTGTCTTTGGCAGATGGAGAATTTGGAGCTCAATAAATATATACAAAGAATGATTTAAGGAATCGGCTCTTCGATTAACAATTCCGAGCATTCCATTAAAACACCTGTACATCCAAGCCTACTGCACCTGGTATTTTCAAGTGGTCACCCATCTAGGAAATGACCAGGCTCACATTTTAGAACTTTCGGTGATTTTATTTTTTAAATTAGGTTTAAAATTTACAGAAATATCTTTTTTTATATATATATCCATCTGTTTGTTCTTAATAGATGAAGGTATATATTAATTGATTTTTTTTTAACGGTTTTATCAACTTTT